CAATAAACATCTTAGATTCATTTTGTAATCTAATACAATAAATTGGGTGTTAGAAATAGTGAATCACTTTGTTCATTTTCTCACTTCATCATTAACATTTCAATTTGTTTCAACAAGGCTTCCTGCCATGCATTCTGTCTACTTTTGAAAACTTAAAGGACTGAACCTGGTTTCTATCTTACATCTGCCTTTCAGATACATTATGCATTGTAGACTCTAGTCAAGTTACACATTCTTTTAACATTCGCGTACCTTTATTGTACAAACGTAAAATGTATGATTTCGCAATTTTAATGTTTTAACATTGCAAATACTGTAACTTTTGAAACATGTTCATGTAACTTTTGTTGCAGATTTTCTACATCATCAAACAAAAGAACTTCGAAGTCCGACGCATAATATAGGGCCACTACGATGTCCTGTATCAAGACAAGGGTTGGTGAGTTGCATGCTTCTCTGTACCTCTGGTCCTCAATCATGTCATAGGACAAAAGGTCCAAATCGACACGGCTGACTGGTTGTATATGTGGTATTTGGCGAATACAGTAATCGCGTGTATGCATTGCATAGCATACTCGAGAATAGTAACATTAATTAATAAATTATTTATTAGAAAATATCGAAGACACGTGTAAGCATATTAATATCGAAGAACATCAAAACATGCTTCGCAATCGTCTTTCGCCATTTCTTTGCGGGTTTCGTCGTCTTAAACTGACTTACCAATAGGATAATGCAACCATTCATGTTAACAATAGCACAAAAACATGGTTTACTCAATATCGGGTGAGAGTCATGGATTGGCCGGATTGCTCACTCAATTGTAACCCAATGGAAAATACATAGGGAATCATGGTTCGTCGATTTTGCGCAGGAAATCGGCAATTTTCGAAGGAAGGAATGCAGTTCACTGTATAGCGCACGGCATTTACGATAACGCTATAAAAGCAGCGATCAGTATTTATAATTTTTGTACAAAAGAATTCATTTTGAAGAGCAAATCACCTGATTCCTCAAACATGATTACTGTACATGCATACACACACGTACAAATTAAATTTCTCCTCGATACAATGCAATATGATCGATTGCATTTTTTAAAAATTTTTCTAAGAATTTCATCATTCTAAGTATCTTTACTTTTAAAGATGTACGTTAAAACCGAGTTTATTTAATCGTAAAAGTGTTGGATCGCATACAAGTCGTACAATACGACCCACGTGGGCCAAACCTAAAATCTTCAAAATGGTCGACCGGTCCGGCAGGGAACGTGTTAATGTGATCGAATTTCATTCTGTAATGAATATGAAACTTTTTTAATATTTTTTAAAAGACTTACAAGGAGATCCAGTTGGCCAAATCAAATTTGTTGGTTGATATTGGATTTTGGTTTCAGTGACATCAAGAGAAGTCCTCACGAAAGTCGGTAGCTCAAAACATGTTCTGAGACGCCTCCACAGGAATCACGATTGTTTAAGATTATTTAAGATTGTTCGCTATTTCGTGGTCTCCACGTTATAAGAAGCTTTCGCTTTTTACGGGACTCGCGTGGATGAATGAAACAAAGAAACCTTTAAAACAGTAACGGTTTATGTTAAACTTCGATTGATCTCTACCATGACTCTTCGTCAACCATCTACAACGAAATAAACGAAATGGTGACCGTTGTCGGCGTTGTCCCCTACTCCATGCATACTGCGCATTTAACCTCGCGCATGCGCGGAGAGACGCACCTTAAAGCGAATCTCCACGCAGATGTAGTGACAATCGCGACATCTAATAGAAATAACCAAACACACTAGACTCAACTTGTCCATCTATAATACAGGGTGTTTCAAAAATGTTGGAAGTCCTTGAAAAGGGTGGTTCAGGAGGTGATTTGAAACAACTTTTTCCTTAGCAAAAATGTTGTACGAGGCTTCGTTAAGGAGATATTAACAGAAAACATTTTCGCTAAGGAAAAAGTTGTTTCAAATCAACTCCTGAACCAACCCTTTCAAGGACCTCCAACATTTTTGGGACACCCTGTATATCTACATATATCATACACGTCGATACTTTTCACATTCCAATTTCAATTTCCATTCAAAAAGTCCGCTAATGATATTGAGAAGTGACAACCAATCACGTTTAACGTTTCTTTCCAACTTTTAAATACTAAAATTTCATTGGCCGAGCACCCAAAACCCACTGCGCAGAAGAACGACGCCGAGAACGAGACGTTCTTCGTTCGGCGGCAATCGGAGAGAACAGACGTGTCGTGTCGATCGGTGATCCATCAATTAATAGGTACGCATAAATCAATTCAATCACTATCCAATCGTTGTTTTTTCAACCTTGCGTTACTGCTTACCGTCTCTTTAATATATTAATACCATTGCTTGTTAATTGAATCGGTTTTTTGAGAAAATTAGATTTTCGTTCTCCATGAGGTACCAATTGATATACGTTCAAATATCAATTCGTACTATGGGAGTACCTCTTTCAGAGTAATATTATAGTTTTCTTTTTCGTTTTTCCAAATTGGTTTGTTGCTTGGATACGGTAAAAATATATATTTATACTTATATTTATATATATATTTACTACATCTTTTAGAAACTTGAAATATTTATGAAGTTACACATTTTTATAATATATTTTAAATGTATTAGAAACATAAGAGATCAAAGTTGAACATTTTTTTTTTAAATGTATGATTTTGCAATTTTAATGTTATAATGTTGGAACTATTGTACTTTTTGAAACATGTTATTAATTCATGTAACTTTTGTTGCAGATTTTATACGTCATCAAAGAAAAGTACTTCGAAGTTCGACGTGGGTAATGCAGAGCACTTCGATGTTCGACGTGGGTAATGCAGAGCTACTCCGATGATTATCGACAGCAGAGCCACTACGTAGTCCTGTATCAAGACAACGGTTGGTGAGTCGCATGCTTTTCTGTATAATTGCTTATCACCCAACACTGCTGCGTGGAAACAAGCGCAGAAAATAAACGTAATTCACATATTATTTGCAAGTTCTCTATTTTATTTATTTATGCATCTTATTTTAGTTAATAAACTGAATAACTATATTAACCGTGATAGTTTTTTTTTTTTATATTGCCATCTTCGTTTCGACCGCATTATAAATATAGTCCAATAATTCGGCATATTTGACAATACGACACCGTAGAAGTCCCGAGCACATCGAATTATCGGAATTCTACCGTATTTTCAATCATATAAACGTTACTTTGCCAAAATCTATTAGGTACGTGAAATATTTCCTCCATTCTCAGAGGGACACAATGAACAAAAATTAATATTTCGGACGAAACTATTAAGCGAATAACAATGTTATCTCTGCGTTTAAATAATACGTAACATTGTAAAGTCGATAAAGTAAATTTCAAAATTTTTGTTAAGCATGTGACATAATCGTACTAAAATGTAGAGTGGTTTTTAATATTTGCTTAATTCTATTACCATCGCTACATTAAAGTATTTTCATAATTTACTATACTATGCACGTGCAAAACCGTACGCAACACATACGAAAAAAGAAAGTCGTTACTTTTGTCATTCTAATCATAGAAGAAATATTTCAGATTACTAAAGTAAGATGTCTTACGTACTTAGTGGTCACTCTCGTAACAGTTAATTAATATTCACAAAATCAAAAGTAAAATTGTACAAAACCGTTACTTTGGCTAACATAAAAGTTAATGTACATATTAGTCTAACAATGAGATTACATGAGAATAGAAAGAAATATGTCGCCACTATTACTATTTGAAAACTTAACAATCAAGTAATATGCAATGAATAATCTTTAATATAAAAAATAATTTAGAAAAACAGATAACAGAGATAGTTGTATTAATATAAATGTACAGTAAATAAAATATTATTATACTGAAATTCCGAATAAATAAAATCTTTACGTTATGAACATCGAATGAAACTTGTTAATTAAATAACATAAGTTTCGCACTAACTGGCTGCAGTGGACAATTATAAATAAAAGTTTTATTTGAATCGTTAGTGATGTCCTTTTTGAACAAAGTCTTCTCTATATGTGATTCTGTATAATTTAATTCTTTACAGTTCATTATTATTATTATTTTTTTTTTTTTTTTTTTTTTTTTTTTTTGAATGAAAAATTAAACGAACGATAAACGAGTTTAGTAACAGTAAATGAAAAATGATAAAAAAAACGAAACCGATAAGAGCAACGTTTAATTGTTTTTGTTGGTATTGAGTGTCACGTCTAAGGGTTCGTCGCCAGCTTTCGAAGGACTAAGTTCCTGTTGAGGCAAGTGATGAAACAAAGTTGAGATGGGTTTGTGTCGAGGCGGACCCTTCACAGTGAGATCCATTTCAGCTTCTTGAGGTCTGTCTCTGACGGTTAGGCTTGTGTCTCTTTCTATCGGACTACCACATATCCTTGGTGGGGAACCGCAGCCACATTTCATTCTCTCCGGAGACTTTTCGCAGGACACTGAAAATCTGAAACATAGAATTCACTTATTATTTCGTAATCTGGTTATGTAAAGAAGACATCTAAAAGGTTCAAAAATATCATTCGACTCGTTAGATTTTATTTTTTTATTTTACGAGTACGTCTGGATAGAGAGAGAGAGAGGGGGGAGGAGAGAGAGAGAGAGAGAGAGAGAGAGAGAGAGAGAGAGAGAGAGAGACCCGAAACGGGGGCCTGCATGTGTCTCACTTGCGGTCGCTAATTATGCTCGTTCGGAATTGGCAGAAAGCTCCTTCCTTTTTTCGAAAGAGCCCTCATTCGGCGTTCAATTGGGGAATTGAGGGAAACATATCGGCAAACTTCAGATTTATTCGAAGCCTAGGGGTTTTGCCCAGCTCCGACGGAAAACGAAAAATCTCGAACCCTTTTGTCTTCCTCCTTTTCCTCGCCAGCGATCAGTATTGTCATTTCATTTTTTAAATAATCGTTACCCATGGGGAGGTGGAAGAATCCTGTAGTCTCTGCAAACGGACACAGACGGTGAGCCAAGTATTTTGTCAGTGTTAACCGTCGCCATTGGTGATCCGTTGCTAGTGGCGGCAGTTGATGACGGCGGTGGTGGTTGCGGCGGCGGTGTTCCTGCATCGTGACGTTCCAAGGATGCCGTCGGTGGCGGTCTCAAAATTAGGGGTCCTGCGCTTCCCAGACCTAAACACCGCATTCTCCATGCGTCCTGGAGCAGTTGCAGTCGTGCTTGCTTTCGCCACTTTGCTCGGCGATTTTGAAACCAAACCTACAACGATAACCGAATATCTCTTCCAATATTTGCGATAGTACGAGCAATGTTTTGCATGGAATTCGAATGGCAGGGACATCCGAATGGAGGGGTACATGGGCCAATTAAAGTAGAATAAATTGGAGAGGCCTCGCCGTTTTCCATTTTCTAAAAATCTAGGTTCTAAAACGTAACGACTGAAAATTCGTTTAACTTCACTTCAAGATGCTGAAACGTAACAGTCGAGAATTTGCTTAACCTGACGAAAGATTGAAATGCGAAGTTGCCACGTGCTCGATTTCACAACCACTACTAAAATAATACTCGAGAAAGTAATCGCAATTGTAATTGTATCAATTGCTACTTTCTTTAAATTAATCATTCTGTTATCCGTATGTTCTGTTACCCGCACAACGTGCGTTCTCATGTCGAAGAATTCGAGTGATTCGAAAAAGGACGTCTATGGTTTCAGGCAGCGTTGGCCGTAATCGTAATCGTAATTACGATTACGATTGTAATCAGATGTTTCAGAGTTGTGATTACGATTACGATTACAATGAAAGCACATTTAAATTTTATCAAGGTAATGACCTTAAACACAAAGCCAAAATAGTTCAAGAATGTTTATTATACAATTAACCTAGTGTACTACATCCACCACCACAGTCACCGGACGTTAGTCGATCACATCAAAGTTATCATGTTATCGCATCAAATTACTGATCTCGTTCTAATCATTTTATAATAATCAAGAAAGATAGTAATCACCACGAAACAAATTTCGATTTTAATTATGGTCGCAACAAAGTGTTGCTAGTTTCCATGTAATATTTCATTTGATACTAAATTTAACGGGATTTTCTTTAGTAACGTATAACAAATCCAATTTGATAACAGCAGTGTAATAATTATCGACAAAACGAAAATAGCTATTAATTAGTGATCGCAGTAACTGCTATATTATTATAGTTCAAATAATAAGAGAGTGAATAGAATAGTCGATGTATAAAATGTGTGAAAACAATTGACTCGATTTGAATTATTCTTAGCATACGCAGTTAAAAAGAGAAGGACGTAGTTTATCAAAATGATGCATATTAACCTGAACACGGGCTTCTGAGAGGGAAATTCTGAGAGCGACTTCTTCCCTTAGAAAAACGTCCGGGTAATGCGTCTTCTGGAAGAGAGACTCCAATTCCTGAAGTTGTTGCGGCGTAAAAGTTGTTCGATTGCGTCTCTGCTCAAACATAATTAACAATAATTAACGACGTCTCCTTAATATTCGGTACGCCTTTCCGATTATTTCACGCGAGGTCTCAGAACAATACAGCAACTACTTCTCTCAATTTTTTATTCCTAACATAATTCGTTATGCCTATTCAATTATGCTTAACATTGGAATTAACAGTTAACATTGTCAGTTCCATTATAAGTTTGTAGATTAATGGCGTAAATACGGGTGCATTAATTTTAAACGATAAAACGTCGTAAATGAAAACACTGTCGCTAATAACCAAAGGTTGACGGTTAAATATGTAATTAAAAAAAAAAAAAAAAATCGGATCGGAAAGTACTCGAATACGAACATACGTTACGAACAAATTTTACAAATATTATAATGTATTTCTAATTATTCTCTCATGTCTCGTATTTCGTTTCGGATGCACGGTCGCGTTCAACTCTTCGCCGTTCAGATTTTCAATAAATTTCTCGAACTTCGCTCGACGTAAAACCATGAATCAAAAACACCACACGCTTACTAACAATAATATAGAATATCTCAGAGTTCCGACGATAAATAAACCACGGAGATTCTGATCCGCGATCCTCCGATTCGCAAATATTGGAGTGCACATAAAATGATTAAAGCAGATTGACTGTGTTTTCGAAAACATTTAGACGCACACATACGCACAAATAGCTCATATATTTCAAAATTTAACTGATATCGAATACGCTGAAAGGTAATTCGCACAAAATTGTCGCGCCTCTTGGTTCGTGCGTTGCATCTCCGAAACTGTCATATACAATGTATGATATTTTTAAATCGAACTGTACGCTTGCAATTGCTTTGTCATTGATATTTGTCTTTAATATAAATTCAAATGATGTTGAATATGCTGAAGATTAATTCACACAAAATTGTCGCCCCTCGTGCCTGGTTCACGGAGTATTGATTATATCAAATCATTGTTAAAATTGAATTTGACATTTGTACTTGAATTAGAAAATGAACCGATATATGTTTAGAACTAATCTATGTATGTACGTTATATGTATAGTAATTTTTATGTTGGAGAAGTATTACGTACTATTACGTACTTACAACTAATGTATTTTACGATGAATGCTGATTATTGTTCATCTAAATGGGAATATTTTGAAATTACGTAGATGGAAAATAACCTTTTCTGTCTCGAGTGTATTGATTTTCATACTTAATAAGGGATATTTTAAGTCAAGATTGCATCAATTTGTATCACTGTTTGTTAACATCGACAGTATGATGGTGGCTGTGATTTCGTTATTTTTTAACAATGGGTTTATATTCTATTTTGCGTTACAACAAAACGCGAGGAACAGTAATCGACGGACAGATCGCGTTGTATGTTACTATTTCAATTGCTCTCGTTATTATTTACAATTTATATTAAATTCACTTCGTGTTAACAATATCGATCGGTTCCATCCACAGCTAACTTTCGTGACATTAAAAGACAAGTGAAGACGAACAAGTAACATATGTTGCATTTAGTGTAGCACGCCGTTCGGATGATTTTAACATTTATCGTGTGTAACATTTATCGTATGTAAAATATCATTAATGAAACACAATTATTAATAACAATGCAAAGTTATTTTCTATAAACTTGAGATCAAAACGCAGACCGTAAATTATATCGATTAAAAAACAGGCATTTCTAAAAGAATCTAAAAAAAAAAAGAAAACACTATAGTCCCTTCTGGAAAATGCACACATGCATCAACCGCATACTTCTTTGATATTTTATTACACAACAGCATAAGCAATAACTAATGCGATGTTCCTAACGGAAATAAGACATCTACGTCATAAAAAGGTCACAGAAGATAATTATTTTTGCGCGAAATACTAACAGTTCCTATCAGAATTTTTCGAGTGGAATGTTATTCGCGTTTGCTCCGATTTGAAAAATCGCGCACCGTAGGGTGAAGATTAAGGGTAGCATAAACAACAACTTGTGCGTTGTTACTAACAGAAATAAGACATCTACGTTACAAGAAGGTCACGGTACCATTAAGAATAATTATTTTTTAAGCAAATCTAACAGTTGCTCAACATTTTTGCGGTGGAGTATTATTCGCGTTTGCCTCGATTTGAAAAATCAGAACTTTGACGAACGTGGAATTATGCTGCCAGAATTATGAACCAGAAAGATGTCCAAAGATATCGGAACCAAATGCTCGATATATAATTCGATAAAATACTTTTACGTTAAAAGAAAATGTTTTTCTTTTTTGCGTGAACAATGAAACGAAATTATTTTCCGAACAACCCAATATTTATCTACTCTATCTACAAGTCTACACTGGTACACAGTCACCGGACATTTTAAACAATTCTAACATATTGTATTCGTTATAATATACATAATACTTTTAATATATAAAATACTTTTACGTTAAAAGAAAATGATTTCTTTATGGCGTGAACAACGAAAACGAAATTATTTTCCGAACAACCCAAT